CCCAGTGAGTATTTAATGACAAAAACACGATTGAATTTTCATATACAGGGCGTTTGAGTTGATTGAAAATTGAAAAAAATATATACAGAGTGTCCCACGGTTCGCGGTCCCATGTTTTAGCATGAAAGGAGTGTTTGAGTTGAAAGAAATATATACAGGGTGTTTGAGTTGATGAAGATTGAAAAAAAAATATATACAGGGCAGCCCATGGGGGTGAAAGAATACGAAAACGAAGATAAATAATCTATTTATTTAAGTAATCCTTTTCTACAAAAATGACATGCCTCTTGAGAAGGTGGCGGTCCATCCCAGTGTGTAGTCCAATCGGGACGATTATAATGAACGAAGCATGGCAGTTTGATTTGTAGGTTAAAGTTGCTGCGATATTCTTGAGGAAGTTTTTGCCACACCCTTAATAGCCCATAAGGATCTGTATATTCAATGAGACATTCTACTGGAATGTACTGCAATTCTTGTTCAGTGAATTTCGTCAAAGTCAAAGCGGGAGATTTCAGGAACTCTAAGAGCACATATATTTCAGATTTATAACAGAGTGTCTCAATACTGGAGAGTGGATTGCTTTCAATATCAATAGAACGTGAGAAAGTTTTAAAGAGCGAAAATTTCGCTATAATCGACACCAAGCATTGTGTGTGAGAAATGTGGGAAATTCTTGAATAAAACTAATCTATACCACCATATGAGGAATGCCCATAAAGTGGACGCCACCAATTCGAATAACCTAGCTGATTAGCGGATGGCAGTTAATGGATTCAGAAGTCTTCAGATCACACCTATAGAAGTATTCAGAGGTATTCAGAGGTCTTCAGATCACGCATTCAGATGTCTTCAGATGTCTTCAGATGTCTTCAGAGGTCTTCAGATCACGCCTTCAGAGGTATTCAGAAGTCTTCAGAGGTATTCAGAGGTCTTCAGAGGTATTCAGATGTCTTCAGATGTATTCAAAAGTCTTCAGCTGTATATCAGACACCATAGCGTTCACATCATGGAGTCTAAACCACATTCATCAGAGCAAGCATTAGATAAATATCACTGTGCAGATTATGATAATGCTTATGGACTGAAATATGTTGACGGCAGATGGACACTTGGACATAAGAATCTACGCTTTGAGGACCAATACATAGGCGTAGATAATGTCGATTTTAAAAGTATTCTGGGTCTTTTGGAATTATTATTTTCCAAGAACCCTCGAAATTACACGCCTCTGGATCACCAGATGTATAAACAGATGCTAGAAATCAGCTCTATTCATAGAGATCGATTAGGGCGATTACGATGACAAGCTGATAAGGAGAAATTTGATAAAATTATCAGACCCCTCTTCAAAAATAAGACCAAACCTAAACGTCCAAAGTCGAGCGTGGAGCCTGAAGCCAGTATTGGGAATGAGGAGTACAATATTTTAGATGAATGGACAGATTCGAATATCTTGGTGGATAGACTGAGATATTTAATGGAATCAGATAAAAACAACAACGAGATCGCCTTTATTCTTACTGAACTTGAAAATGTTGGTATAATATCTAAGAAATGAATGATGTCAAAATTATCCGTTTTTTATTCAACACCTGCTAGGCGGGTAGACTCACAATGACTACTCAACTTGGCATACAAAAATATATATTTAAAAACCCTGTATAATGACTGGTAAGTAGTGTGATGAAATCATAAACTTGGTTGACTTGCTGACTGTCTTTGGTCGACTGGCATTTTTACGATGATAATCACTCTAAGGGTCACAAAAATGTAAAACGAGGTAGCGACATTTCTTGCTGACCCGCCCTGTATAGCAGAAATATTTTTTAGTGTGAGATATTGAATATTAGGTCTAGGACTAAAAACAGCTCTTGTTTCAGCTTGAACAGCTGTTTTTTGTGTGATTTCGATAGTTCCTTGTATCTCATATGGAACGATAAGAGAATCAATAATAATAGGATTATTTCCTTTATTATCCGTTAATTTTAGTCTATAACTCAGCTGATTTAATCATCTTTCTAGGCTTTGAAAGAATATGATTTTCTGTATACGCCAAATATAGAACAACCAAGATAACGGCATCCTGTTTGAACGCTCCAACTTGAACAGCTGTTTGATTTCGGTAGTTCGTTGATTTCGTGAAAAGACGATAAGAGAACCCGTGTATGTCTTTTATACCAACTCGTTAATTGTTGTCTATAGCTCATCTATTGTAAGAGTATCAGATTTTGAAATATTCGGCGGATTCAGTGGCAGATAAAATGCATAACAATGCTTGAATATAATATGCACACATGAAGATAAGCCTCTCAATGTATAGGGTGAATCAGTCAGTATAGTCGGACAGTGGACTGAGTTTTACAAAAGAATCATATTATGTGATGCATGAAAGAAATGCTCAATAGATCATATTATCAATAAGCTAAAAAGAAGCAACAAGTTGTGTTCTTCTTTGCCAGTAGTCGGACACTTGTCTTTTATCGTGCAGAGTGAATGAAAGCACTCAAGTATGCTGCATAAGTTAAATCATACGAGCATTCTGTGTGAGTTATATACTACGCGTTTTCTATGACTACAGCAAAACTCTTCAGCTTGCTGATTTTCTCACAACTAATAGTCTGTCATTTCATGAAATTCGATATTGGAACATGGTGTATGTTTATGTGGCAATTTTTGTAGAAAAATCAATTAATATCATAGGTACTTAACTAGAATACATTGGGCTGATAATTGAATAGGGTGTTCTCCTAGGAAAAAACACCTAAAATTCAATCAAAACTGTATTCGTACTTATTCCTATACCAAATCCGGCGGCTAATTTCATCGATAACAAATTGGAATGATTATACTAAATATTCCTCAATAAGATTACCAAAGCACCTGCTTAACTTCATGAACCATGTAATAAACGACAAAATTTAAATATATCTCTTCAGCATATTCATTGCTGAATTTATTTGTTATACCAGCCGATAGATGGCGGTACAACTACGTTGCTAAGAGTTACTAACAGCCGTCGGCCGATCGCCAACAAATAAATATGAGCCTCAAACAACTGTTATCATCTTCCATTGGTTATTGCACTGCACCGAACTTATATATTTTCGGATTCGAATTGTTACCTTATATCTGCAAATAGGTCGGTCATTCTCAGGATTTCAGAATGAAAATAATTCATACCGTGTCATCCATCACTGTCATCAAATAAAAAACATCCTAAAAGTTTCTTCAAGATGTTCCATATCAAGTACCATGAATGTCTCTGGTACATCCCGTATCATCCCACAAACATTCTGATGGGATGTTTATAAGACATCGCAAATGCTGACAAGAATGTCCCAAGGAAAATAGGGATTTTCCAGAGTTGTTCCTATCATCCCATATGGATGGTTCTACGACGTCTTACTGATGTTATTGTGTTATTAGGGCATGCGCATGGTGAGCGATGCCACACTCACTAATTCTTAGAAAACATCTGAACAAAACGACTAAGTTCATCATAGGAAGTGTTTCCAAGATCTCCAAATGCGAAATCTCTGAAATTTTCTGTGTATCATTGGGATGGGTAGTGAGTGTAAGAGAGAGTGAGAAGGTAAAAAAGTGAGAAGAAGAGAGAGAGAGAGAGAGAGAGAGATTGGATGGATATTAGTTGAAGGTATGGATGTAAAAAACAGTTGTATCATGTCTTCTGACGAATACAGACGTGCACTAGAAGAATTTGGGTTGAAAGTTAGAAAGCTCAGTGCAGACATCCAATTGTATGAGCAGAAAGTTTGTTTGTTCAAAGATTTCGAGCAATTGAGTGTTTGGGACAAGGTGTTCACAGAACCGAGACGCACAGCTGCACCTACATCGAGAAGAATCCAACCAACACAGCTAGATGGCGATACTGAAAGCAAGCTTCATTCTATTGACAGCTCTGAGCAACAACGTCTTTTACACAAACATACCGTACAATACGAGGAATGCAGCCGTATGTTTTGATGTGAATCGTACACAACAGTGTGATTGGAAGCTGATGAGTAGAATGTATGCCAATGATAACAAACTACCTGTATATTCAATCGACATGCCTCGAGTCAATGGGACCACCATCGACTACAAATTGAAATTATCGTTTTCTGATGGCAGTGACGGTGAAACTGGGGACTGGCAGACATTTACATTGAAGAAATCCCCCGCAAAATTAGATGATGATCAAGATTCGGTCAATATCATTGCAATTTTGACACTTTGTTGTACACTAATATGTTCACTCATTTTAATCTCACATGTTATTTTCATTATACTGAGAAATAAGGGATGTGATGAATAAAAACTCTGAAATTATTATAAAGTTTTTTATTTTGGCAATAAATTACATAACCAATTATATAAAGTATCGACATTGTGGAGACTGCACTGGAACCTTCCTCCATGGAAATGATGCATGCAAGGTGGAATGGATTGTAGGAACGTTATTGGCTGCCACCAAGAATTGTCAAAATCTTCCAAATTCACAATGTGATAAGTCATCTCCAACTCTGCACATTTTCGCTGCAAGAACTGAATCTTTTGATGGCCTCTTACGTAGATGATGTTTGTCTGCTGCAGGTTATCTCGTAGTATTTGATCCAACTCATTCAAATCCACATAACCACTGGAATATTTTAAACCATGAACGTAACGCTCCACATGATTTGCCATCTTTTTATCTTCTTTGTTCAAACTGGAAAATTCTACAGATGGCTTGAATAGAAAATGACTCGTCTTTTTGCCAATGCGAATGGTCATTTCCTTTGGAATGAATTCACCATCAACCATGAACCCTTGAATATCAACCAGTGCGATCTCCATGGCTCTTCGAAGCAAACTGACGTCTGATTGATGCAGCAACACCCACCTAGGCAATATTTCGAACAATTTCGCTGAGTGGGAGATGTTCCATGATTTGATCGTGAATGATGATGCAATAGGCTTTGGTGTCGGGAGGGAAGCCTGTAGTCGCTTCAATGTCCAACTTTATGTCAACTGTGGACGACTTTAGACCCAGATGGCGCCTCGAGCAATCGATAACAAACATTGGTCGGGATTTGAATTCGGCAAAGTTTACTAGAGAGCGCTTTTCTTGACAGTTATGGTAGCTCTTGTTGAACTCTGTATAGTTGAAGTGAGCGTCAGCATATTGGTCTCGGGAAAAGTCCAATAGCATTCGTTCTTGCGGATAATAGTCGCTATTCAGAGCCAATCGTATGGATTTGATGTTGGCATTATCGAACAAGGTGACGTCTTCATGCAAATTATCGGCTTTTTTCGTTTGGAAAAATACTATAACATATCTTGGACTGTCCAATGCAGAACATGTCTTGACGGACCAGATTTCTATGGTAGATCCTTGTGTGAGTGCTGGTAGCTCGTGCAATTCCCATCGGCGAAACGGTATCATCATAGACTCATCTGCTTTGATACGTGTCAACAACTGCAACTTTATGTCATCGTTGGGTGTGAGATGTGGCACTTTCAAATTGATGCTTTCTATCGTTATTTTAGCAATACTTTGAGTCTGAGGAGATCCTGGCAAAGCAGTATTCGCTCTCTCGACAACCTTCACACTGTTGGCATCATTGCGAGCTCTCACTAAACGGATTGACTGCTTGCCCCACGTTGCCACTTGATGATCATTGAAGATGGAAAACAAATGTTTCAGTGGAATGTTCATGCTAAACGTACCATCGGTGTTGAGGATCGGAGCATTGGGATAGTTCCAGCCTGCTATGGCTAGATGACGTGAGTCTTCAGGCGTATAACACAAGTATCCTCGCACAGTACTCGTTATTCCAGGATATCTGACAGTGTCCAATTCTTTATTACACAATTCATAGGTGCAGGAATCAAAGAGATAAGCTCCAGCATTGTGGGTTAATGTACCAGTACCACCACCAGTCACCTTCAATTTACCCTTGATGGTAATGATGCCTTCAAACATGGCCAACCACGAATCTGCTTGATTAACCGTTATATCGATGACATCATTGTTCTCGAATGATTTCACATTTGGATAATAGATACGCCATTCCACTTTAGTGATGCTTTCGTCGAGTCTGGGTTTGCGGAAAACGTCGAACACGGGTGCTAACAACATTGTAGTCTTTGAGTGATTTCAGAAACAGGACACTGGATAATGTCAATGTTTTTCTGTTGCGGCTGCTGCTGCTCTTCGAAGACACGACTGCTTTGGTGTACGGTGTCGAGAGAACTGGTGCTGATGATGTTGCTGATGATGGTATATTATCTGATTTATAGGAGTAATCAAACACTAGTACCATCTTGCGAGTTTCTTCAATTTCAATCTTATTATGATTTCTTCACCTCTAAAATTCACCTGCCTGAAATCTTGGTCTAGAATCTGGAGTGTAATGTTGGGCAATTCCCGCCTGCTGACTATGGGTAGATATATTAGATTTCTGGGAGTCTCATCTATGGCGTAACCAGGATCGACTGCAACTGCAAACTCGTAGATCGTATGTGATGGTCTGTCGTTGTAGAGAGCTCCAGCAGTAACGTTGCTATCAATGTGAATGGTTCTCACTTTGGTTATGCTGACCGGCAAATCGGAAGTGTGGACTTGTTGTGCGTTCAACAATCTATTTGAAAATCCCAAGACTTGAGCTATGCTATCCTTCGGGCGAAAATCAATGGCAAACTGTTTGCTCGAAATCTCACACTTTAGTGTATTATTGTTGGGCTTCAACGAGAATATATCATCAACGTCCTTTGCACTTGAGATGCCCAATTCTTTGCGTATGAATTTCTCAATGTCCACAATGTCGTATGAACCTTCGGGAATATCGATGATCTTTCCCGCCTTGGTCTTATCTTGCAGATAAAACTTTGATCCTTTGTCGATATTCGGTATACTGTTGTATGAATGGAATCCCAACAATGCTAGTCCGTAATCAGAGTCTGGATCGAGTTGGAGTGGTGTCAAAAAGTCTATGGAGAGCGTAGATGTACGACCTTTCAACGTCACAATCAGAGACATGACTGATGCACAATGACCGAGTTACTTGGTCTCATTAAAAAGGAATTCTAAACATAGACGTCCACAATTACTTTGATTGAAATTCTGGTATTGATTGTTATTGTACAAGATTTTCGTGCTGGCACCCAAATATTGCGCCAATTCTCTGGGCGGTTTCAGATTGCCATAACTATCGAAATATAAGGCTTTTTTATCATTCTTTATGTAAGCCACCCAATGAGTGCCCGCATGATTGGAGGTATCCAAATTCAATACAGCACACTCGCGATGCCATGGACCGGTGGAAGGTAGAGTGTCCCGCATAAAAACACCTCGAAAATACGGTATTTTCAGCTGTTTGGCATACTTTATCACATCTTTATCGTACATTGATTTATTGGGTAGCTTGTCTATAAGTTTTTTGAGTTTTTTGATTGTTTCTTCAAGTACAGTCCGAATCCTCTCGATGTTTTGCGTAGAAATAGGCCGGAACCCTGCTTGCCGATAGCCTCCATTGCTTTATTATGTCTTTGATCTTCTTCGAGCTTTTTCTTTGCATTTTTTGCATCAATGACTGTCTTTGCGACTGCTCCGGCTCCTCCAGCTAGAGATCCTAGGGCTCCCAAGGCGGCAAAGATTGGTATCAATGGTAGTATACCGCCACTGTGTGGAAGAGGTATGATTCTTGGTACTCTGATTCTTTCTTTACCGCCAGCCCTCTTGATTGCCATTCTGGCTGCACGGAGTGCTTTCAATGCAGATTTATTCAGACCACTTCCTGATGTTGTACTACCACCACCACCACCACCACCACCATCTGACTTTGATAGTACATTTTTTATGAATTTGATAATGTTGGATAGGGATTGCTGTGATACAAGACCCATGCCGAGTTTTCGTTTGACCTTCATTCCGGTGGTGACAAGCCAAGCAGCAGCCTTCTCTTTGAATTTATTGTTCTTCGACTTGACTCTCTCCCACGCTCGATTTTCCAATATCCAATCAGCTTTGTGCCTGTCTTCTATTGAGGAATTTTGTGAATAGGCGATATCGTGTACTCGACACGCGTCGTCCAATGGATTGATACCGGTGTCTCCTCGTGCAAGTCTTTTATCGAGTTTGGTACCTGGACCACAAAATCTGTAGCCTGGAATGTGTAATTCGATGGGAAGTTTATCGATCAGAGAATTAAGCACACCCTCTCCGTGGTAGAGCAACATGAAGACTGACGTGTAGGAAGTTCGACAACTCTGCATATACCTAATGAAATGAAGAATATATCATCACATGATGAAGATCATTCAACAAGAACGGATGTTACCCATTGTGAATTTGGATGAAATTTTGTCAACCAAACCCCCAGTAAATAGTAAACATGGGAAACTGCTTCCCCATTCGTTCAGAGCAATCTTCTGCGGACCAAGCGGATGTGGAAAGACCAATGCGATGCTTTCCCTGCTGTTCAATCCAAATGGCGCGAAATTCAAGAACGTTTACGTGTATTCAAAGTCGTTGTACCAACCGAAATATCAATTGCTGCAACAAGTGTTGGATTCAGTGAAAGGTGTTGGGTATTTTCCCTTTAAAGAAAATGATGATGTCATCAGTCCATCAGAAGCGAAAAATAATTCGATATTCATTTTTGATGATGTATCATGCGACAAGCAGCAAAAAATTCGAGAATATTTTTCAATGTGTAGACACAAGGATATTGACGTAGCATACCTATGCCAGACTTTTTCTAAGATACCGAAGCAGCTGGTGCGAGACAACAGTAACCTGTTGGTGTTATTTCGACAGGATGAAATGAATTTGAAGCATGTGTTCGACGAGCATGTCTCACCAGACATGTCATTCGATCAATTTAAAGCATTGTGCTCAGAGTGTTGGAATTCCAACCAATATGGTGCGATGGTGATTGCAAAAACTTTCGATATGAATGCTGGCAGATATAGAAATGGTTTCGATAAGTTCATAAGACTGTGATCTCTGGACCATTCATCAAGATGACGTCAACCAAGATGCATGATGATGTTGCTGATGTGCTGCGCAAGAAAAAAATCAACGAACTATCGAAATCAATCAGAAGAAAATATTTAGCACTAAAATTGGGCAAGTCTGAGGATGATGATGCGTTACAGTCAATATTCCAACCACTGACATCACCTTTGAAACAAATTGCCACCACGTCCAAGGTAATAAAAGAAAAACTCGATGGAACGCTTTCAAACATCAAGCGAAGCAGAGCAAAATCGTTGGGGTTGAAGAAGGAGAAGAAGGAGGAAGAGGATGAGGAGTTGGAGAGGGAGCAATCGGATTTGAACCAAACTAATTTCATACCTATGATGGATGTGGCTGATGATGTTGGGCATACTGAAGATGATGATGAGGATGGTTATGACGATGCTGATGATGAACTTTTTGTAGAAAGTGAAAATATCTCACCGGCTGCAATACATGATTACGTTGATCAGTATCCTGCGATGGCTCAAAAATATCTGACTGAATACTGGACAAATGATGAAAATATCGATACGGTTTATGGCCCCAAATATGATCCAGTAACATCGAAATGGTCCCTCAACGGAAAAGAAATGAATTTCCATCGAAGAACTGGAGATATACTTCTTGATGGCTTTCGGTTCCGTGGCACCCCAGGCCTCTATCAATTACTCTTCTATAATGATCCATCCTTTGCCAAAGATGATACGAACCCATACAAGCAAATACTCTTGCTCACCAAAGCTCATCTGAATTCTGCAGGACGTATGAAGTCTTCCTCTAGACTCAAATACGTAGAAATTATTCGTCCAATGTTCAGATCCAATTCCAGTGGTCGTGGTTTGAAGTTGACATACAACACAGCACCTATCGAATACATGTATTGGGATGATCCAAACGAATTGGTAGATAGATTGAAGTTGCTCATTGCATCACAGCAAGCCGGAAATACATCAAACGATAACGAGATTGTTGCCATCTTGAATGAATTAGAAGAGGCAGGCATAATAAAACATGTGTGACATTTCTGTGATACTTCCGTAACACTTCCATGACAACTTCCATGACAGTTCCGTGACACTTCCTTGACACTTCCGTGACAGTTCCGTGACAGTTCCGTGACACTTCCTTGACACTTCCGTGAACTTCCGTTACACTTCCTTGACACTTCTGTGACACTTTCATGACATGTCTATGAGTGAAGGGGCTAATAATTGGCGATGCAAAGTGCCGACCATTATCGATAACGTACAATACTTTAGTCATTAGCATAATGAGTCTCGACAAATTCGGACGTGGCTCGTTTCCACGCTCAGCTCAGATGGTGACAGTCAGATCTGGATTTTCACATACTCCAACCGGTGATATCGATGTTGGTCATTTGAAGATGTGTAACGTAAAACTGCCAACAGATGCCGCTGATGTTGCAAACAAACAATATGTGGATGAAGTTATATCGCAAATAAAGTTAGATTTCAAGATTGCTTTCGATAATTACGGTGAAAAAATCCGAAATCACCTTGCTGGCTTCAGCAACGAGATAATCGAAGAAAGGAAGAGAGTGGATGTACATGATCTGAAACTGGCAGC